GAGAAAAGATTTCTGTGTTGTGATAGTAAGGTAAGTAAAGAAGATATTTTATTATAGTTACTGGAAATTTATTTATTATAGCAATTTTTATTAAAAACACTAAAAAAAGGAAAATAAATAATAACACATAATGAATATTATCTCATTTTTTGTGTCTTCCGATGAGCAATGATAATCCAGCCAATAGTTGTTTTGCATTGATTTCACTATTCAGAAATCTGTCATTAAGTGTGTTGAACCTTTTTTGAGAAGCTGTTGTGTTTGCTGATTGTTTCGTGGCCGATGCTTCAGCAGCAAGTTGAATAGAGATGTGTTCGAATCGTACATGCTCGCATTGTATAAGTTGTATAAAACTCCATGTATTTGGATGTTTTTTTGTTAAACGTGTTATGAATCGAAGATTGTAAGCTGAAATTAGAAGAGATCGAAGCAGACCGAATTATGGATGCAACCCGAAGAAAAGAACTTTTTCCTGCTACCTTTCAAGATATTATTTGTTCGATGACCGACATTGTTTGAATTCCGATTTGCGTTGGAACAGTACCAATTATCCACTGACGTTCGAAATACACAAACAAATCGTCTAATAATGAGGATGAGATAGTACGAATACGTTCAGATTGTTTTACCACTTTAGCAAGTGATATAAGACTCACGCGGGAACGTTTTTAAGTGCCACCTCGCTTTTTCAACGAGACCTAGTGGGTTATAGGTTATCGATGATGCTGAATCCGAATATGAATATGAGAGCTGCCCTTCGATTCGAAGACCCGGTTTTCTGGAAAACCAGTTTTTCAGAAATTCTGAAAAACAACCAAAGCTTTTCTTAATGACCCTTGCTTGTACATTTCTGATTAAAATAAGGCCTCTCCCAACTCTACATGATCTTTCTTTGCAAAGTTATAGCATTTACAAGAAAAGCTCTAAATTAATTTCTCCTTGTTTCTGTAGCTTTGAGTTGACAATGAATATTTATTCTTAAAAACGTTTCCTCGTCAGTGCCATTAACCGACGACATTGTTCACTTATAGTATGGTATTGTGCACTCCCGAGAGTGTCAATAAGGAGCTGTTGATCAGCAAATAAAAGCAGAGAGCATCTTGGCTATTAGCAAGATCATTAATATATATTTTATGTACGAACTTATTTGTATACTGGTTTCTATTGGCAATTTCTCTATTTTATCAAATCAACTTGTATCACTCAATCAACTTGTATGACGAACATATGGGAATGGCTCTGTACACCATTGTCCGTATAGAATTACATTTATATGTACAGGTATATACAAGTCCCATCGGGGGCTTGTCCCCGTAACGCGACACTTCGCTGATTAAGCTTTTAAGAATTTTTTATTATCCGAGAACCGATATGAGCAGATCAGTAGACGCAGCTTTCTGCGCTGACTACTGATCCGACTTCCTTAGCAAATAAAAATAAAAATTTTAGTGAAATAATTTAATTTAAAATTTAAAATTATCAATTTAAAATTTTGACCTAGCAACTTTTTTAAAAACATTTAAAATTTACACTGATCGATAGGACATTGAATTCTCTACAAAATGACTCATTTTTCTCGACAATTTCGACTTTAGGAACAAAACTTATGCCTTTTCAATGTTTCAAGGTTCCAGTCAAGTTTAAAAGTCTGAAAAAAAATTTTCAACTTTATTTTTTACATAAATCGATAAAATATCACCAAATCTATGGCAAATATAAAAAAAAGCTTTTTTGGAGGACATTAAGTGTCTGAAACTCCACTGACAAAAAAGTGTGTCACGCTGTCACATTTATTTATTGACACTTATAATCGAGGGAAAGGTTTTGGACGAAAACTTCTTTTAATATTATATAGCTCGTAAGCTTCTCTAAAACGTTCGCTCTAGACGGTTTCTAATAACTCTAGTAGTTTCGCAGGAAGCGTTTAATTGGATGTCCTCACAATTTAGGACCTTTTTTCAAGGGGGAAAACGCGACTTTTTCAGTCTTACCATCGGAGAGCATCGCATCAGCATCGGAGAACATCGCTCTACATTGGATGCTGAGCATCTCAAGCTTCGGAAAGCATTTCAACGGCTTCTGGAGGCTCCTTTTTCCCCTTGCCTTTTTCTGTCACAGCCGTCACGCACGGAATATTCCTTCCCAAATATTAAATGCTACCCAAATTTTCTCATTTTTTACCAGAGACAGAGGATAGTGAAGTGCACAAAATCGCAGTAGAAAACCCTTCTACTCCTTATAGTTTCCATAAAAATTGAGAATTACCATGTCAAAAATGCCACGATGTCACAAAAAACTCAGCCATTAATGGCGTAATGAGGAACACCTATAGAGACACCGTCTATTTGATCATATAACTCCCCTCCAAAATAAAAATGAGTGTTTTTTGTGGCAAAGACAAATAACTTTCCATGAAATATTTTTGATACCCTAACGCAGGTTAGCACGCGTTAAAAGAAATAATAATTTAACGCATGCGCACAAGTTAAATGCTCTGGAATGCATGCAAACGTGTTATCTTCTGAACTTGTATGAGACCAGAAATGTTTCAAAATTAATACTAACTCGTTAAAAAGATAATTTCATTATAAAAAATTAAAAGTTGGGCTAAAACGAGTTAACCAGGAAAAGTTTAAAATTGTAACGCGACCGGTAAGCGGATTAACGCGTTAAAATCGCGTTAAATGTTTCATATTCGGTGGTTTTAACGAGTTCAATTTGTAACGTTTGCTAACGTTAGACCTCATAGTAAAGCGTTCAAACTCTTTTAGTTTTAACGCATCCGAACCATACAGTTTTCCAGACGCGTTAACATATCAAACACCTTCGCGCTCGTTATAACAAATTTTTTTAAAGATATTCTAGAACAAACGTTTTCACGAGTTCACATCCGTTACTATCCATTCTGCTTTATTGTCGCACCTTAACTCGTTTTTATCTCTCTCCCACCTTTGATTGCTTTTTATTCAGCATCTGAGTTCCAAAATCCACGTACAGGTGGACCTTAGGTAGCAGACCATAGTCATGGCCTACCAAGTACTATTCATCAGTACCATTATGATAGATAATCTCGTACACACCAGAAGAGACAAATTCTTAAAATTTCTAAGTGGATGCATCTTATATCTAGTGGAAAAGTTGCGATACTTATATACGAGTTGATCATGCAAAACAAAACGGTGATTAGAAAGTCAACGCTTTAACGCGTTCGTATGCGTGAACTTTTCTATGAGTCATCGTTTAATCAGTTTGCACAGGTTAGTGGCTAATCTAACCCGTTAAAACAGGGTAAAATACATGTTCGTTAGAAATGGAGGCGGTTTTTACACTTTACAACGTGTTAACGGTTTATATTATTGAGTTTTGATAAATCCGTCCGTTCTAACGGCTGAAGTTGAAATATCAAATACGTTACAACGAGTAATTGTTTAATCCGATAATGCGTGTAATAATAGTACGATATCTGTCCAAAGGATGTTTGTCTGTGTTACGTCCCTTTTTCAATTGATCTATATATTTCTCTGATAAAAGGAGAGAAAATGATCTGTCTGACGCATACTCACTCTTTCTATCTTACAACTGGTGTGTAGACCAGATATAGGATGACTCATTCCATCGTTTACAGACAGAATATTCACTAATGCGGTATAACCAATTTCTTTACCGATTCATTTCCAGAAAAAATAATTATTGGGTGTAGTAGCACACAGTCACATACTTAATTGCAAGTTAGATAAGTACGCTTAAGGGATGATTATTTAGATTAAACTTTAAATTTTAGCCTTTATATCTCGAAAAGTCGTTGACTGTTTAGTTGTTCAAGTTATCCTTAAGCATAAGAAGGAAAAACTGAGCAAGTAAAACTATCATATTATTTCAATGAAGGATCAAAGAAATACGTTCTTTTTCGTTTTCCAAATATGACAGAGAGCACATGGTACCTTTTTTGTTGGTTACAGTGTTTTTAGTTGTTTCGAAAAATGTTGTTTATCATCTCATGTGTTTTCTAAAAAATGTTCATTCTGACAATAGAAGCTTAATGGTGATGAAATGCGCTCACTATATGGAAACCTTCGCTCGTGTCTTCTGCAGTATAACTTCTTGGAAAAAGTAATTTTTTGTCATAGAAAAGTAAACACGTCCAAAGCAGCTAAATCTGATAGTTCAACGCGTAATCGGGTTTGAATGCATCAATTATTAAGAGGAATTTGAATTCATTCGATACTCACACTGGTTCAAACCCATTAAAAGTAACTTATTCGTATTAAACTCATATATACGCATCGATAAGATCTTAACGCATTAGAACCCGTTATACTTAAACGCGTGAAAACCCGTTTTATCCTTCACAATCATATTTAACGAGTTCGCATCCATCGCCACTCGGAAGAAGCGTCAGCTCACGTGATTTCTGAAAATTAAACCCGTTTAAATGTAATTTTTCTGAAAAAGACATTTTTAACGCGTGCTAACCTGCGTTAAGGTATCAAAATTATTTCATGGGTTTTTAAAATCTATTCGTTTCATGGTAGACTTTTTATTCGATGAGTACACTTTTTTAATTACTAAATCAATAGTCTCATCCAGTGGGACACTTGTGTAAAGTCTACTTACATCAAAAGAAGCCGTAATATTATTCGTAAACAGTAATCATTGGTTTTAAGTGTTCTAATAAAATCAAACGTACCTCTGATCGTGTAGGAGCTTTTATTTTTAGGCAATTCGTAGTTGAATGCGTTCGTAGCAGATGAAACAGATCTTAATGTATCATTTTTTTGTACTTTTGACAATTCATACATAAAACCGGATCGGCGTCTAGTGTTGTTATTATACAGATTCGCGTATGTAGTCCTGATTATATAGTCGGTGGAAAAGGTTAGTAAGACTACTTTCTCGAGCTATGGTAGAGTCAGAGCATAACGGTGAACTTATCGTAAAACGAAAAATACAAAATATGATTTTATTGTAAGAAAAAAATATTTGAGCGTGATCAATAAAATCTATTCTCGCCGTTTGCTTCTCGCTATTGAAAATTTAACTTTTCGTATCAATAAATGATTTGCTGGAAGAATCTTCTCGTACATCTTCAGTGCCGTTATGTAATATCGAACAGCTGTACGATATGCTTCTCTTGCACGATAAACATTGCCAATATGCTCATAAATAATAGCAATAGTTGGATGAAATTTTGGAAAATTTTTCTTACTTATTTTCAAACTTTTTCGATAGTAGTCCAACGCTTTCGAATACTTTTGTCTTTTGAAGTAGATGTTGCCAATGTTATATAAAGCTGTGCCAGTACTTGGATGTACATCATTTGTTGGTCGTCCTAACCTCAAGGCCTCTGAATGATAGAGCAGAGCCCGATTATCATCGTAATGCACAGCGCCCATGTTACTAAGTATGGTGGCAAGAACTAAAGGATCGGTACCTTCTGCTACCTGTATTTTATACGCAAGTTGAAAGTATTTGAACGCATTTTGATAATCTCTGTAGAATCCATAAGCACGTCCAAGATTTAAATAGATATCGCCTAAATCCGTAGTTGAATTTGATCGATTCAGTAAGTTGTGTAAGTATCGAATCGACTTATAATATTCGCCCATCTCAGCAAAGTAACGTCCAATTAGTACAGATTGCGATTCTGTCATTAGTTTTCTATTTGATTTTATATATTCTATGGCTAGTTTCGTTTTCTTTTTGGTCGATTTTAGTTTAATGGTCCATATTTGCTGATATGAAACTTCGACAACGAGAAAGATAGAACCAATGTCTAATAAAACTTCTTGTTCATCAATGAATTGACTTAGACTACTTATATCTGCTAAAATAAGTGATCGAACGTTGAGAGCAATTTCGTACATAACCGATTCATGTTCTACATTTCCTGCAAACATTTCTGCTACGTTTCGATCCCGACTAGTAGACACAAAACCATTTATCGATATTACTTTGCCGACTGAGTGTTGCATTTTTAGAATTTCATTATCAGCAAGTCTAACTCCTCGATAAACAGTAATCACACCATTATTGTTGGCCTCTTTACGGTATTGATCTAATAAACATGTACATAGATCACTAATGTAATATCGAAATGTGTACAAAGCATCGATATCGTTTTTCGATCGCAAAGATTCATTTATAATTTTATACAAAAATGTATTTTTTGTATACCATTCTAAAGCTTTGCTTGACTCATACGTTCGTTCAAATTCATTAATCGACGCTGATTCTTGATCGTTACCGCGATAATATTCGCGACATTTCTCTATTAAATCTTCTTTCGCCATTTTATCTGCCGAATACGAAACTTGAATAAGATTTTGTTTAAACAATTGACACCAGAGATAGGGTGCATAGTTATCAGATACACTTTTAAATACGAATGATGGCTGGATATTAGCTAGTAACGATTTTTCGATGTTTTTTTTCTTCGATTTGATACATCCCATGCAGTTAGTCACATAAAACTTACTACCATAGTCCTAAAACGAATGATGCAAATTATAGTCATATATCTCTGAAACTATCTTATACAAAAGTCGGTTGGCGGAAGAATGGTTCATGGAATAGTTGTGTTACGTGAAGAATTTTACCTAGATCAATTTTCTTAAAAAAAGCTGCATTGTACGACGATAACTGAAAATTTTTGGATGAGGTTTCTACGAGAACAAAGTTTGTGAAAAATTTTTCGATGTGAGACATGATGATACAAGTATTCAACACTTACCCAGTTCTATGATTACGACCATCCTATACGGTCGTATACGTCAAATTACGTATTTTGACGTAAACTCGGCCAACGTGTTACGTCAGCCGTTACGACCGTCGTATTTCGACGTAAAAGATGTCGTTTACACTGAACGTAATACGTTGGCCGGGTTTACATCAAAATACGACGAAATACTATAGTATACGGTCATGAATCTTTGACCTGGGACCTGGGTATGCAGAGTGTACATGACACTCATTCTTGTAGTACAAGAGATGCTTTATCTTGTGTACTAGTCAAAAACTGGAATAGTATGACAGTTAAAAAGATAATTAGTTTCAAAAGTGACATAAAAACCAATAAAAAAATATAAGTTACATTTTCATGTTTTTCCATGTGTCAAACATGAAAATGAACCCAAACACATGGGATGCATTTTAATAAATCCCAAAAACTCATTTATATTTTCTTCACAAAAGGTCAGCCTCAAAACAACTATCGAACGCGGTAGCAAATATAATACTTTCTGTTCTACTTTTTCTCTTCTTCTCCCTCTACATGGCGAAGTCAAGAAAATCTCTGAAATCGTTTCGCAAAAATGAGTCATAGATAAAGAAAAACAATTAGAATAGAGAGAGAATGACTATTCACGTTATTTTTCAGTATATTTGTGTATAAAGGCAACAAGCGAAAACATGCACAGAAAAGAAAAAAACACTGTTTTATATATTTCACACTATATAACGGGAAACAACACGTGAGAAAGAATAAAATTTCTTTTAAAAAGAAAAGACACGATTTTTGTCGTAGTTCTAATAGTAATAATTAAGAGGCGGCAAAAGGAAGAAGAAAAAAGAAAAAAGAGTAAGATAGAAAGAAAAGGATAAAAAAATAATACTAGACCATATGATGTCAAGCGAATAAAAGGGAGAAGTGACGAACAGTTGATTTACTCTCTACCATCTCATGCTTTTTTCAATAAAGTCACTCACACAATCGATTATCAATTGAGAAGTGTCTGTATTACTAGTCTGATTATTCAGCATAAGAAGTTCAATAGACAAATTAATAGGGTCTAAAAGTTTGAAGACTACCTTACGAATTGTATCATACAATTTGCAGTGAAGAAGAAAATGCTCTATTGTCTCCTCGCTACCGTCACCACAGGAGCACAGAGGCGAACTAGTGCAACCCCGTTCATATAAATAGAAATTCAGCTGCGGAAAATTACATCTCAAACGCATGAACAGGCTTTCAGACCTTCTGTTTAGAAAAGTAATGTGTGTGGGAAAAACGAGCTCCTCCCTTTTATCAATGAATGATTTTTTCAGTTTATACTTTATTGTATTGATTTTTAAAACACACAGTGATGGAAATGTTATTAAGAAAGCATTCCATTCGTCTGTGACTACCGTAAAAAAATCTCTAACGCGTTCAACTGGTACCAGTCGTCCCCCATTTCTTAGATTATATCTCTGATTTTGATTTCGCTGAATGTACTCAGTTAAATTAGAAGCTGTGCAACCGCGTATAATTTTGATACTGAATTGTTTCCATTTTTTTGAGATTGTCTTCACTTGTGATAGAAAAAAGGACCGAGCCATAAATAAACAAATTAAGGACATACGACTTATATATCACATCAAGCGTTTTTCTATTTAACAACCATTGACTGTGTCTCATAAGACCGATAAGCGAGCTAGCACACGAACAAACTTTATTAATGTGAGTTGTCCAAGTGAGATCATAAGATAAATTAATACCTAGATACTTTACAATCTCGTATTCTTTGATCGGATTTCCACTAAGAATGAGAGGAGACAACTGTAAAGCTCCTGATCTATACCAACGACTAGAGAACGTTATCGATTCACATTTTTTGAGATTAAGATTCAAGCCCCACGATATAGACCATCCTTCTACTCGAGAAAGATCATCATTTAGCAAAGAGACGAATATTAGTTTTGATTGTTAGAGCCAAATCATCAATATAAATTAGGAACAATAATGGACCAAGTACTGATCCTTGAGGGACTCCTTTGTTTATTTTTAATTTCTCTCGAATACCTTTCCTTTCTAATTTCAGCAGAAGTGCCTTATGATTTACATTATCAAACGCCTTTTGAAAATCTAAGAGACTTACGCGGACAATCTTGTTTTTTTCCATCCCTACATTTATTTTATGAACTACGTCAAGTAGGAGATTAGTTGTTGAGTTTTTCTTAACAAAACCTGATTGAAAAACAGACAACAGCTTGTTTTTCATCAGATAATCATATAATTGTTGGTGTACAATTCTCTCACATACCTTCGAGATCGCTGGCAAAAGCGTTATTGGGCGATAGTTGGTAGGATCAAGCGAATCTCCTGACTTGAACAATGCATGCACAAAGCCATCCTTCCAGTGATCTGGAAAAGATGCCGTGTTGAATGATTGGCGAAAGAGATGTGTTAAGCACAGTGTTATAGAGGGCTCAAGAAATCTTAGCATTCTATTGGTTATTGTTGAAGCTGTTGATTTGTTGCAGCTCAATCTCTGCAAAGTTTTTTTTACATCACCATACGTAGCAGTGAATACGCTTAAATGAGATGAAGCTAGTGGCAACTTTTCAGCAGCAGAAGAAAAATTAGATGAACCACTCCACGTACAAGTATTAGCAAAGTGTGCATTTAGAATTTCAACTTTGCTCTGATACAAGCTCTACGACCAAGCAACCGTTTATATTACGCATGATGAAAGATAAATAACATGTTTTCGATATCAGACAAAATACCTGTATCCTCATCATGTTTTTCTGCTATATACTGCCGTTATCGTTCTTATTCCAAAAAATTTATAAATAACACACGCATAAACATGGATGCTTTACAACAAAATAACAAACGAAATCATTAATCATGTAAGTTGTCTCATAAGTGACAGATAGATTTGAGACTGTCAGAGCGGACAGATATTAAATAGATTTATTCTTTTCTTGACTTTGAAGGAAAACAAGCTATACTGTAGTATCCTCTGCAAATAACAAAAAAGTTCGTTTTCTCTGCAAGCAAGTCGCATGGACACAAATTCCTGAAGTTCATTCAAAATGGTGAAGTTTCATTGTAAGGTTTCCAGAAACTTTACCGGTACTTATGTCATGTAACAGAAAAGAGTGCAAGATTAGATATGCGTCAGTTCTAGAACTGATGCTTGGGCATCAGGAAAAATGCTTATTACTCGGTAATTAAGAGCCGCTCAGAGTTGTGGAACATCTCATTTTGTACCATAAAAATGTAAAGTTAGTTGATCACCTTTATTGTAAACGGACTGAAATCTTGCAGTTAAACAAAGATTTCTTTACTTGTGTTTCTCCGGTACAAGCAATTAAAACACAAATATACACGCATATATATTTCAGATAGAATTTATTATGACGATACGGATACAAAAGCTCTGATTAACTGAAATAAAGCGTGTAGGATATAACTTTAAACATTGATGATATATACTAGACGGTGGCACGTTTTCAATGTTTGTCTTCTTATGGATTTGACGAGTTGTGAGTGAATGTAAGTCAATAGTTGCATTTATTTATTTATTTATTACTTTATACATGATAGAATGAGAAAAATACCTATCCATCATTTAACATGAGAAAAGAGAAAGATTTGCTTGGTTTAATGCATTATGAGATAAAAAACAAGTTCCAATCTTAGTTTCCAATCTTAATTATAAGATAGTTCCAGAGATATATGACTATAATTTGCATCATTCGTTTTAATAAAAATTGCTATAATAAATAAATTTCCAGTAACTATAATAAAATATCTTCTTTACTTACCTTACTATCACAACACAGAAATCTTTTCTCTTCAGTATTTTCATTTTCGACGTTCTCCTTT